GGCAGGGCCTGTGCCCGCTGGGTCACTTCCTGCTCTCCTCTGCCTCTTTCCTGTGCCCTCACTCTGGGCGTCCCTCCGTTCTACTCCCTGCCCTCCCACCAGCCTGGCTATCCGTGCCCCTGCTCTAAGCTGCGGGCACTTCACCGTGGGCAAGTGACCGAAAACCTCAATTTCCTCCACTGCAAGACGGCACCTTTAGAACAGTATCTCCCCCAGCGCCCCCGGGAGGATTAACTATGACAGGCATCTGCCTGGGGCTCAGGAAGAGCCGGTACATGCCTCCCATCGGACAGGCAGGGCTTCAGGAGTCCCGAAACCACCCTCCGAACAGGCTGTCCCGCTCACCCTCCAGCACCACGACAGCGAAGTCCTGGGCGGTCTGGGCCTTGCGGGTGGCGAAGCACTGGTAGGCCCCCGAGTGGCTCTTCTGGGCCGAGGCGATGAGCAGCGTCTCGTTGCTGAGCCCGCGGATGGAGACGGCCTCGTCGGGCAGCACCGGCTCCGTGTTGCGGTACCAGCGGATGGTGTACTCGGGGGAGCCCATCGGTGCGCAGGAGAGGATGACGGTGCTGCCAATGCCGGTCTTCAGCTTCTTTGGTGTCAGGGTCACATGGAGGGGGTCTGGGCCAGGCCGGGGAGAGAGGGGGGCAAACGGGGGAGGACGGGGCTCAGTGTGGGTGAGCGTGGCTGCGGATGCACCGTGATCACCAGAGGCCCTGGTGCCAGAGCCCTGGGCGGAGGGGCTGGGCCTGGTGCACCCCCCTCTCTGGGCCTCACCTTACTCATCTGCCAAAGGGCAGTCAGGCGAAGAGAGGCCTCCGCCCCTGTTGTTCTGAGGGCTGTGCTTTCTGGGGGTCCTTTGCTCGTGGGGCTGTGGTGCTCCCTGCAGCCCCTGAGTTGGATGGGGCCCTGACCGGCTCATCATCCTGCTGTCACCTACCCCAGACGCCAGGGAGCACCTGGACCCACCACTCACCTCTCACCACACAGAACCAATCCTGCCTTCTGCGGGTCCGCCTTCTTTGATACGCCCCAGGCCACAGCTCTGGCCTGCCCCCTGCAGTCTGCGCATCCCTGCCTCCCGTCTCCCATCTCCCGTCTCCGGTGTCCCCCCATCTGCCCCCGTGCTGCCGCCTGCCACTGCCCCGCTGCTGCCGCCTGCCACTGCCCCGCTCAGAACTTCCACAGCCCAGCAGCTCAGGGGGCGTTCAAAGGCACCAGGCCCTACGGGACCTGCCCCTCGTCTCAGAAGCAGCCTCTGAGAGGCAGCCTGCCCACAGGTCCTGCACCCCGTGGGCTACTCCTGCCCTAGGCCCTGCCTGGAGTGTCGTCACCCCTTTACCTAGTTCCTTCTCATCCTCCACCCTGAGCTCAGGGGTCATCTCTTCCAGGAAGCCTTCCCCCACCAGCCCCCCATCCCCGCCCCGCAGCTGGGTTCAGGGTCTCCTCTCGCTTCAGGCCTCCCTGGGTGCATTAACACCAAGCTAAGCACGTGGTCTTTATCACCTCTTTGTGCCTCTCTCTCCCTCTAGGCAGTGGTTCCCAACCTTCCTAATGTTGCGACACTTTAATACAGTTCCTCATGTTGTGGTGACTCCCAATTTCATTGTTACAAACTGAACATAATTAAAGCATAGTGATTAATCACAAAAACAATATGTAATTATATATGTTTTCCGATGGTCTTAGGTGATCCAT